GTGCAGAACACTTCCTAGATGGGAGTTTTGTTGCATCTGGTACCAAAGGGTTTCTCTCTGCTGCTCTTTTAGAGCTGGTACGGTAACTGTGCCCTGGCGGTGCAGTAGCTGCCCAGAGTAGAGCTCAGAGCGGCACAGAGCTCACAGAAGCCCCTTGTCCCAGCCGAGGGCAGAGCTCAGAGCAGGGCCAGCTCACAGCAGGGCGCCCCTTCTCAGCTTCCAGAGCTTCCCTGCGGAACTGTGAACTGTGCAGCAGCTGAGCTCACAGCAGGAGGTTCCTCTGCTGCTATTGTCCTACCGAGAGGGCCGCACTGGGGAACACCCCCTGGCTGGCCAGTTGCTCCGGGATCGGTGCCCAGACGGCCGCACTGGGGAACACCCCCTGGCTGGCCAGTTGCTCGGGGATCGGTGCCCAGACGGCCGCACTGGGGAACACCCCCTGGCTGGCCAGTTGCTCGGGGATCGGTGCCCAGACGGTCGCACTGGGGAACACCCCCTGGCTGGCCAGTTGCTCCGGGATCGGTGCCCAGACGGCCGCACTGGGGAACACCCCCTGGCTGGCCAGTTGCTCGGGGATCGGTGCCCAGACGGCCGCACTGGGGAACACCCCCTGGCTGGCCAGTTGCTCGGGGATCGGTGCCCAGACGGCCGCACTGGGGAACACCTCCTGGCTGGCCAGTTGCTCTGGGATCGGTGCCCAGACGGCCGCATTGGGGAACACCCCCTGGCTGGCCAGTTGCTCGGGGATCGGTGCCCAGACGGCCGCACTGGGGAACACCCCCTGGCTAGCCAGTTGCTCGGGGATCGGTGCCCAGACGGCCGCACTGGGGAACACCCCCTGGCTAGCCAGTTGCTCGGGGATCGGTGCCCAGACGGCCGCACTGGGGAACACCTCCTGGCTGGCCAGTTGCTAGGAGGAGCCTTTCCAGGGGGATTCTGCTGGTGGCTGCTTCTTCTTTTCTCTCTCTCTCTCCTCCTCTTCACCACTCGACCCCTTTTGAAGTGAAGGCTCCGGGGACAAGCCGGGGTCACCACCCACCCGAGTCCTCTGCAGACTGAAGTGTTTTCTCTATAGGGAGGATTTTTTACTTCAGCTCCCAGCTCCTGTGAGGCTGCCGTTTTAGATGTGGCAGGTAAAGCAGTTCTGTGAGGGTCTCCCAGGCACAGTGAGCGTCTGGCCTGGCAGGAGAGGCACGGCTTGGAGCAGAGAGAGCCAGGCAAGCCCCTGGGCAGGGGTCTCATCCTCTAGCAGGGAGGAATATGCAGAAGAACGTCGTCTTTACTTTTTTTTTTAACTGAAAAAGAAAATAATTCTGAGTCTACCAGATGCCTGGGGGGGGGGGGGGGGGGGAAGCCCCCAGCCAGGGAAGGAAAGTGAAGTTCTTTTCCTTTTTCTCTTTTCTTTTTCAACCAAAGGAATAAAATAAAATAAAACAAAACACTAGCCTGAGTACTTTTAGGGAGAACAAAGGTAACAAAACCACCACAACTTTTGCTAATGACACAGATAAGGAAGGGACAACTGCTCCTTCTGTCCCAGGCCCAAGCCGGCAGAGAAGGAAGTGAGGGGGGTTCGCCCCTGCACCTCAGCAGGACACTGCTACCAAAAATCTCTGATTAGAGGTGCAGGGGCACACAGACACCTAGCGTGGAGCACCCATAGGGACACTACTTGAAGAAGAACATGGAGTTCCCTGAGAAAGTCTGTCGGTTGCTCTTTTAATGATATTTCCTCGGATACTTTTTTGCACCTCCCCCTCTTGTCCATCCACCCACTCAGTTTGCACAAGCCCCAACTGCCCCTTTGCAACCCTGCCTTACACCCAGAGGTGACACTTGGTGGAGGGAGTCACCCTCCCCCCCCCAGATTTCTGCCAGGGTGAGAGTTGAGCTGAGCGTGCTTGAGGAAAGGCACTAGTCTCTAGGGCTCCCCCTGAGCCCTGCTAGGAGGCACCTGGAGAAGGAAGAGAGATGGGGAGGGAGTGCAGCACGGCCAGGGGGGTGCAGGGAAGCCCTCTGAGTCCCGTCCCTTCCTCACCCGCAGCTGCAGCTATCTGCTCGGCGGGAGGTGTCTGGAACCCACCCCAGCCTGCGCTGTGTCCGCAACAGGGAGGCAATGGGAGAAATGGGGCAGGAGCTGTGAAAGGATTGGGGGCAAGGTGGTGCCAGCATGGAGAGCGTGTGGGAGGCAGTGGGGGATTGGGAAAAGACCAGAGGCAACATGTGGGGCCATCCCCCAACCTTTAAATTGTGACACCCCTCATCAAGAGTTACAGGTCATCTCTGCTTGCACCATTCACCCCCTGCCACAGCTGCTCCCTTCAGCCTTTGCACCTACCCCCCCTTCCCAGACTGAGGGCTGTCTTGGGCTTCTCCTGCCAAACTCCAGGGGATTTGCTGTGGCCCCTGTTGGTCCCCTATGCCCTGGCTGCAGCAGTGCAGTGAGATGCAAACTCTTCTCTGGTTTTTGATCATCTCCACCCCTACAGCAGCTGCACAGCCAGCGGCGCTGGAGTCTGTCACGTACTCCAGCCAGGGTGTGCAGCTGCACACTGGGTTTTGTTGTGCAAGAGGCCTGGATTTTAATTGTTGAAAGCAAGCGAAGGGTACCCAGAGCACAGCTTGGTCTCGAACACTAAGCAGAAGCTAGCGATACAGACCCCTTCATCAGCTGGCTGCGTTTAAAGGCGAAACACCCCCACCCCACAGTTTGGGACTGCTAACACCTGTCCCCCCCACGCCTGAGGACACAGGTGGCACAATGGTGTGCTGAGGGATTCTAGAAAGGGGCTCCGGCTGGACTCCCTGGAGAAGTGTTTTGTTGGGTAGCTCGGAGGAGATTAGGCTATTTCCTCGGTGACTGGAGGTTGCAAACTGAACAGCTCAGCTCTACCAAAAAAGTGAACACGGTGGTATCAGGCTGCAGCTCTGCAACCTCAACCTATCACATGGCCGGGCCTCTCTTCTGCTCCCAAAAGATCCCCTGATTTGCCTGGGCCAGCACAAGCACTAGCTCCCCTCCTATCTGATTTGGCAGGTCCTGCCCACCAGCTGGGCTCTGAATTCCTAGTTCCTGTGGCCACACGCTCCCTAATGTAAAAAGAAACGGAGTACTTGTGGCACCTTAGAGACTAACCAATTTATTTGAGCAAATAAATTGGTTAGTCTCTAAGGTGCCACAAGTACTCCTTTTCTTTTTGCGAATACAGACTAACACGGCTGTTACTCTGAAACCTAATGTGTCATTCTCCTCCCCTCCTTGTCACCTGAAGAGAGGCTCAGCCACCACATCAACTCCATCTTCAGCCTGCCTTTATCATAGCAGCATGGGGGTGGAGGGTGTGCTTCAAAGAGCCCAATGCTGGTAACAGCTGGCCAGCTCTCAGGGGCGCTACTAAGGCTGCTTACCACACTGGTAACCTCCCAGCAAGAAGAGATGCTGCCTTGTCCAGCCTTACGACTTTTCTCTGTGTTTTGTCAAAGGGAAAAGGAGGCGATTTGGACAAGACCTCAAAATACAATCAATGCCATAAAATCCTTTCCTTGGACAGCTACAGGGAATAAGAAAAACTCAAAGCTCACAGTTTCAAAGGCTTTCACTGTATTTCCTGGTGTGTTTAACAAAAGTCCAGGGGGGTTCTGAGAATGGGGCTCAGCAGGGAGAATTATGCAACCCCCCAAAACATAACTGACTGGTCAATGTAACGGTAACCAAAGGATTTATTCAAATCCAACTCCTGCTGGGCCCAAAGTCAGCCCTCTCCAAACAAAGCAGCTGGACAGGCCTGTGGAACACGGGGAGCAGGGAGGGAGGTAAGCTGCAAAGCTTTCTGGAGTTAAGTGCTCAAGGGCTCTGGCACAGCTCAAGGGTTCACTTTGACCAGCTGTTCCCAGGTAACACTCCACCTTGGCCCTGCCTCTGCGAGGATTTTACACCTTTTTTCCAAGCATACACATGGCCTGAAGGTGGGAAATGCCTCAGTTCACTTCCACTCAGGGCTTCCATAGGGGATCAGAGAAATCAGACCTGACTTTTTCTCTACCCAACTCATTCACACGGAGGGGGAGGCAGCAGCAGAGAAAACAGACATGGTTTCCTATAGCAGGTGAGATGAATCGACAATCCCAACTCTCAGCAGAATACAAGCTCCAGCTCAACTACAAAATACAGGAGACACTGGCTGAAATTCTCTGGTCTGTTCTGCATGGCTGGAGGGAGGCCTTGACCTTGATGAAATGCACAGAGGCTGAAGCCAGCATTCCTAGGGAGTCCTATCAGTTTCTGAGCTCCTTGCAACGTGAATATGCCTTAGCTTTGTGTTGCATGAACTCGTGGAGAGTCTCCATGGATGGACCCTCATTGCTGGCTGCCTTCCGACACCTGCAGTAGGCAGAGGCAATGCTACCCCTTCCCTTCTGGGCAGCTCAGTTACCGTGTGAGTGGAAAGATTCAGTTTTAATCTGGTGTTTAATGATTGATTTTTATGAGATTAGCTCTGTCTAGAAGACATGCTTTTATCTAGCCCCTGTGAAAAATTCTACAGCCTCTGGCTACAGCTGGTCAGATCAGTCGTAGCCATTACTTCTAGCATCAGAGTCTGTGAATTGAAATTGGTGCCCATCGCTGTAGTGAAGAAATGTGAATTACAATTACATGGTTTTGCTGACTCTGGTTTGAATGTTGCCTTCTGCAGCTATTCCATTCTGAACCAGTAACGGGGGGTAAGGGGGAGGGCGATTTCCTGCTAGTACAAAAATCTAAGATACTTGGAAAAACATCTGCAGAAATTCCTAAAAACGAATCTTCCCAAGTCGATTTATTGTGGTCAGTAAATTAAGAGGTAACAATTCATAGAAAACGCCCAACTGGGTTTATCTATCAAAGCATCACAGAAGGAATTTTGCCTCTTAAATTGTGATGGTCCTCTGTGCAAACAACATCCGATTCCCACTCCTTTCTGTCTGGATAATATAAATGCACACACTGTAGGATGCTTGGCTTGGTTTCCAGAAGAGAAGTTTAATCTAATTTACATATTCCTAGGTACATTAATAACCAGAATATGCCCAATGAAAAAAGTTAAAAGGTAAATTCCTTCCAAGCTCTGCTCAGCTTGGGATTCCAAATAAAAATGAATGCTCGTTATTTCTACACAAAACTAGAGTTAAAAAAGTCGAGGTTCTATGCAGCTAGACATAAAAAGCAACAGCGAGCAGGGCTGTGTGGAGAGAGTCCAGGTTCTCCTGGAGAGCGCTGGCGACCGCCCCTGCTGCTGTTTTGGAGTCTGAATTGGCAGGAAAAGTGTTAGTAGCACTCAGCACTTCCCCAAAGAACCCTGGAAGCCCATGCCCGCCATTGCGCCTCCTGGGATAGGCTTGGCTGGTATTTACACACCTGAACTCAGGCAGGAGTTTACACACCCACCCTTCAGACAGGTGGGGTAGGAGGTCGCACTGCGGAGACCTTAAGACATTCTACAATTGAAGGCTAAGAAAGGAAAGGAAGGCAGCGTGCAGCCTAAAGCTACCCCTTCCGCTCGTGGTGGGTCACCGCCACGGGAAGCTAACAGCAACAGGAACCCGCGGGGCACTGCACAATCTCAAGTGAAATGGTTAGGATGACAACTGGACAGCGAGAAGTTGGGGGGAGGGAAAGAATGAATGTAGACATTACGAGATGGGTGGAGGATCAGTAAATCCATGACTTGCCATTTAATGTGTGGGATAAAGTTGACCAATGATGTATTGTCTGGTGGAGAGGGATGGATAACATGCAGCGCAACCCAATAAGAATGGATTCTGACATCTACGTGAACTAAATTCATCATCGTCTAAGGAATCGAATATAATTAACTCTAGGGCCATATACATAATTAACAACATTCACCATCACAGACAGAGTTGCTTTCTCCTCTCTCCCTCTCTTGTTACAGATGGCCTGATGGACCGTCACGTTTGCAATTCTCATCGAAACCTGAATTGCAACAGAGCAAACACGCACTCCCCTCCCTGGGACCAGAATCTCTGGACTAATCTGCATTCATTAGAGGGATCCCCACAATCATCCCCCTTCTGCAGGGAGCTCCCCTTCCTGGATGGGAAAACGAGTCTCATTTCACACTCTCCCTTCGTGACAGGAGCGTGTCCAAAGTGTGTCAAGATTCTGTGCAGCAGCCTCCTCGCCGGCTTCATGGGACCCCCATGGGGTCCCGTCTCCAGTCTGTATGGGTTGTCTCCCCCAAGAGAATGTCTTACGTCACGTAGTGCTCAACGCTGGCACTCCCATGCTATGCGAGTCAGCACAGGAGAAGCTGGGCTCCGGGAGGCTGCAGAGCCCAGCTGTAAGAATTTAGCTACCTCCCCTTGGTAACCGTCTGCAGCAGAGTCCTTCAGCATGCTCCTTTGGAAATGTGCTCGTACAAGAGAGGGGCAGAGGGATGCCGGCCAGCGGGCTCCGTTACTGAGCCTCAGCTACGGCCTGCACCTCGGGGGCCTCTGGCTCGCTGCGCAGGGGGTCGGCTTTGGAGAAATTCATTTCCAGGATGTGTCGCTGGAGATGTCGCACCCACTCCTCCTGGATGGAGAGAGGACCCTGGAACTCCACCTCACAGAACCTGCACGCAAGGGAGGGCAAGGGGGAACAATGTCAGACCCTGGATGAGACGCTCATTGAATATTCTATTATGGCTCCAGTTGGGACCAGTCCTGTTGTTCTGGGCACTGCAGCCCAACCCTAAGGAGCAAACTCTAAGGAAAGGGGATGCAGATGTGCGCAGTGCGTCAGAGGAGGTTGTTTAATTAACTGTCAGGACTTTGCATTGACTGTCAGGCATCCAGAGAAACCAGTCTTGGGGGAAGCAGCTACCACTGACCTCAGCACCAGACAAAGACAAACATGGCCCTTTCTGGAAACCAAACGTTACCTTAAACTCCACACATGGCAAATGCTAGGAAGGACCTTAAAGGAAGAGGGGTCCCATAGCCAGGACTGGCTGTAGTTACACAGCATGAAGGGGCTCGAAGACTAAAGGCACTAACGGCAGGCTGAGGGAAGCTGCTGGCATTAGGAATCACTGTGAAATGCTACACGTAGGTGGGGTCTCTCTACATGTACTGCACAGTCACTGCCAGGAGTCCATGCCCCCAAGGAGAGAGTGCTGTGGACTGGGTGCCACCCAGTACTCCGGATGGGGAAGCATGGATCCCTCTCTGCAGACATACCTGCACTTCAGGGTGTAGATGTTACCCACAAATTTCACCAAGGATGTCTGCGGAGGCCTGGGGACCAGCGAGGGCACTGGTCTCATCCTGGGTGGGGGCTGGCGAGCTTCCTCCATTTTCTGCTGGAAGTCGCTGGCCTCCTCCTCTCGGGAGAGGGGGGTCTCTGGGGGTTTGGCTTGTCTTCGTTCAAACTCTAGGGCAGAAGAAGCATCTTCAGAACACAGCACCATTGGCAGACACATGCCGCCCAGGCTACAAGCTTGATGCTGAGCTGCAAGGGCCTACGATGGCCCCCCCTGCTTCCCATCCGAGGGGACTGGCCGTATGATCCCACCATGGGCAGTACGTAATGGCTGGGGGAGAGGAAAGGCAGTGGCAGATTATTGCACTGGCCCATGGGGCCTGTGCCCAGGGGCCTCTGGCAATTTGGAGCCCCTGGAAAAATCTTCCCCCACCACGGCCTCAGGGGTGGAGGAGTTTTCACTCCCAGCGGTGGGGGCTCAGGGCCACGGGGGGCAAAAAGGAGCGAGTGGGGGCGTGGCCTCAGGGGGAAGAGGTGGAGTGGGGGTGGAATGGGGATGGGACTACAGGGCGGAACAGCATGGCGCCATAGGCGGGCCCATGGGCAGAACGGGGGAGGGGCTCCAAGCTTGGAATTCTGGCCAGGGCTGAGAACTTCATCGTGGTCCTGGCCGGGGCCAAGCTCTCAGCCCCCCCCGCCTCAGGCCATGCAGGGAGAGGCCAAGCTCCCAGCCCCCTCCCGCCTGGGGTCCACAGGGGGGCTGAGAGAAGCAAGTGGGGGCATGGCCTCCGCCGGAAGAGGCGGGGCAGGGGGCTAGCCTTCCCAAGGGGGAGCTTCACCTGCTGCCCATGGATCCCACCAGCCCTCACCAACAGGAACTGTGTCATCACGCAGTGGATTGGCTGGGGAGGGAGGACCAGGAAACACAGGATGCCGACTGCCTGCCTGTGGGCTCATCCTTCCCTCCCTGGGGGTGGTGCTCTGGACAAGGGTCTCCCAAGCTTTGCCAGCCCACAACACCCCCAGAGAGTCCCCAGGGTAAAGGTGTTTGCATGCTCCTGCTTGGCAGTGAGTTCAGGGGCAATAAGAGGTGGCTCCCAACTCACTGTTGATGTTCTGGCGATGCTCCTCCACCTTCACCAGTGACAGCGGAGAGGTGACCATGGGTCGCTCGCCACCCCCACCACTGCCCCTATCCAGGAGTTTGCTGGGCTCACTGTGCCCCATTTCGCCCACCAGGCTCTTGCTCATCAGGGGTATGGTGCCTGGCTGCAGGCCCAGGGGCAGCCTCTTTCCTGTGCTGTCCTGCTCCCGTGAGTGGGATGAGTTGCGGAACTTCTTGGTAAAGGGCCGACCCCCCTGGATGTAGCTGCGATAGGCTCCGGCCTTCTGGGGCCTGTGCTTGATCCACTCACTCAGCGTCTCGATGGGTGAGCCGTTCACACACCACTCAGTCACACCAAACTGCCGCAGATGAGCCCGGGCATGGCTGGCCAGTGCCTTGCGGTTCTCGAAGTAGAGGCCGCAGAGCTCGCAGCAGGCTTCACTGGCTGGAGACAGAGAAAGCAGGGAGTAAAAGCTTGCAGAGAGCCTGGGAAGCAGATGGCAGCCAGCAGGGCACCACCCAGCAGCTGGAAGGCAGAAAAACACTGGGGTGCTACGATGCAGCAGGAAGGAGTTGCTTGCTCCCTGGCTCTCCCCCCAGTCCTTCTCCTCCTCCGTGGTGCCTGTTTGGGGCGGGGCGATAGCATTTCCACAGGCTGTGGAATCTGCTTTGGAGCTTACCCTTTACCATCTGTAACCTACAAAATGGCTGGATCTGTCACGTGACCCAACTCCCCACAATCCTTTGCATCTGCAGAGGGCTGTGGGATGAAGTGGGCTGCATGATGATCGTTGGCCATTCTGTGGGTCACAGACCACTAGCCCAGGCTGCCCAGTAGTGAATTGCGCTACTTTGGTTACACGGTGTCCAGAGACCACCGTCAAAGCCCACTGAGAGCTGCAGGGGGTTTTCAGGCCCATCTGGGTAGGGAGGCAGCTAAACTAATCCTGCGGCCTGTGCCCTGAGGTGGTCTCACTGCTTGATCAGCCAGCTCCCTCTGGGTGTTGGTCTGCTCTGCAGCTGGGAGGCTACTTCCCAGGGCAGGTAGACAGACAGGGGCTAGCTTTGCTCAGGCTAGTTCTTACAGCAGTGTAGCTGGGAATAGCACAGGTGGGCATCTCTGACTAGCCATCCGGACACATACCAGGTGGTCTGGGCAGGTCTGTATCCAAGTGACTAGTGTGAGCCATTGCCCGTGCTTCCCCAGCTACACTGCTATGGTTAGCCGCTCGCTCCAGCAGAGCTAGTGCAATGACCTGTGCTGGGCAGGGCTGCAGTATAGATGTACCCAGGGTAAGGGCTCAGAATATCCTCTGGTACCAGACAAGCTGCTCTTGTGACATGACAGGTTTGTGGCACCAGATCAGAGGCCCAGAGCAGCGGACTCCTCAGTCCTTTTATGCTCCCTTGGTTTCTGGGCATGGGGTAGCAATGGAGGAGACAACAAAGCAGGAAGTCTCTCTGCTGGGAAGTGGGAAGGAAAGCATTAACATCCCAGCAGGGTGCTACCTGTCCCCCTCTCCATGGGATACAGCTCAGCAGGGCTCTCCACCCGCCCATCCCTCCCTATAGGATGGAGCCCTGGCATGGCACTCCACTGGGTCCTCTGTGAAGGGACACAGCCCCTGCAGGGCCGGTCTCCCCCGCCATGATGGAGCCCTGGCACAGCTCTCTGCCTGCCCCTGCCCCCACTTACATGTGTGCGAGGGCTTGTCATGAGCCGCCTTGGCTTTGAAGGGCAGCTCAGTCTGGATGTAGGTCTTCTGCTTCACTTCACCATGGCCCCCAAGCCGCTCCTCCTGCAGTGGCCGCTTGGCGGAGAGTGGAGTCAGGAAGCCCCCGTGGGGTTTGCTGGTGAGTGGTGAGAGCGAGATCTCCCGGCTCATGCTGGAACCACTGGGGCTGGGCTTCCCCGTCCTTCCACCCAGCGGGGAGAGGGACATGGCCTGCAGGATTTTCCCAGGGGACTTGAGGGCTGCACCTTCCTCTGACATCGGCTTGGGGAGCTCAATGCTGGAAGCATGGGGCTCCTTCTTGATCATACAGGGCTTGGACTTCTTTTTGAGGATCTCCCGCAACGTGTCGATGGGTGAGCCATTGACAGACCACTCGGTCACCCCCATCTGGCGCAGGTGGGACCGGGCATGGCTGGACAGTCCCTTCCGGTTCTCAAAGAACTCGCCACAGAACTCGCACCGGATGTCCCTCACAGGGTCAGCACGGGAGGCTGCAGGGGGCAGAGACAGAGAAGGGAGTGCCTAGGGTCCCCAGGCAGCATCCAGCCAGACCCCTTCACACCACTGGAAGGCTCACCAGGCAGTGCAGACTGGCATCCCCCCGGCAACCTGCACACCACAGAAGATCTAACAGCAAAGGCTGGCGAGCCACACCTCTGCTATTGCAGCCCTCTATCCCCGTAGCAAGGAGGCACTGGGACAACATGTAGATTAAACAGCTGCTAATATTCTGCCACACCTATAATGGGGCACCTGAGGATCTCAAACCACGCTACCAACACTGTCACCCCCCATGAGAGATAAGTGTGATCCCCAGTTAACGGATCGGGAAACAACGTGCCCAAAGTGGCCAGTGGCAGAGCTGGGAACAGAACCCAGAAGTCCTGACTCCCAGTCCCCTGCTGTGCCCAAACACTGATTTGTTTACCCCCAAGCTCTTGCCTACTATGGCAGGTGATCACTGAAGTCAAAGTCACCCCATCATGCTAGCAGGAGTGCTGCTGCTCACACTTACAGAGGTTCAGGGGGGACATCTCCTCCCGTGGAGACCAGGTCCTGTCAGATGGATGGGGCTCACCATGGAGGCTCCCAGATATCATCTCTCGCTTGATCTCCATTCTCATTTGGTCTTGTTTCAGTTTCTTCTGAAAAGAGGGAGGGGCCATCCCTGGAAACATCTTCCTGGCTGTTGGGGGAGGGGAGGAGGTAGGCGAGTGTCCCATGGGATTTCCTGGCTGCTGGACCTTTTTGGGCATGGAGGGCACGTGAATCTCTCCTGGGCTGCGAGGCTCCAGCGATCCCATGCTGCCGATGACGGTCTTGGTCATGGCTTTCTGCCCTGGGGCTGGTGGGTTTGTGGTGCCACCCCGGGGCTGAGCTCTGCGCTTGAGGATCTCCCGCAACGTGTCGATTGGGGAGCCGTTGACATACCACTCGGTCACCCCCATCTGGCGCAGGTGGGACCTGGCGTGGCTGGACAGCCCTTTCCGGTTCTCGAAGTACTCTCCACAGAACTCGCACCTGATATCCCTCACAGGCTCCGATCCAGAGGCTGAAACAAGGAGGGGAGACGTGCATTTACTGTAGTACCTGGCAGGCGCAGCCCTATGCCATCGGGGCACTGGGACACTAGCAAGATCATCCCCCCCAACAGGACAGGACAAAGCAAACACGCCACACGCCAGAAGTCAAGACAATGGCAAAGCTGATCCCGGAACAAACTCAATGAAAGGAATCAAACCATCAAACAAACCCTGGGAAATGCAACAGGCAAGGGCAGTGCAGGGAGGACAGAGCACAGGGCAGGCTTCGATGGCGGGGCAGAGAGCAGGCACTCTCGGTGAGCCTAGACACAGCAACCGCTATGGCTAGAGGCCTTGCTAGGAGCTGTGGTCCAGGAGGCCTGGGAGAATACAGTCACTTCAGTGTCTTCCTTTGTGTGAATGTCCTGCTTGCCCAAGGCTTTAGAAGTGGGTGTCTATGTGTGCTGAATGCTGAGGGAAGGAAGGGGACCTGCAGGCATGCTAGAGCCCGGATGAAGACATACATTCCACGTTTGTTTGAATCTCCTTCCCACAGACACTGGAATGATCTGTCCAGTAAGCCTGGCAACCCAGGTTTGTATCACGCACTGGCTTGTTGTCCACCAAGCAGCTAAACCAAATGTGTCCTTGTCACTTTTGGCTAATCAAAGTGCTGAGCACTCTTCCTTCAAATGCAATGTATCCTTAACCCCATCCCCTCTTGGCTTCTGCAGATCTCCTGCCTGCAGCGTGATCCGGGAAACCCTGATTTCTCAGTGTGTGCTTGGACGGACCAAGAGGAGTAACACGACGCAGTATATATTTTTTGCCACCATAAGCAAGCTGCAGTCTGAGCCATGCAATCTCCAGGAGGTAAATGCTTAGCGATGAGCGGGTGCAACTTACACATCGTCTTACAGGCTGCTTGAAAGGGGGAAAGCTTAGCAGCCAGTCAGCATTAAATCACCAGTTTATGGAGAAGAGAGTTCACAAACTTGCCACAGTCCCTGATCACCCCTCCCCATCTGAAGGGGAAAGCAGAACCTGCCCCCTTCTCTGCACCAAGGTAAGGGGAGAACAGAAACAGATACCCTTCCCCCCGGCCCAGAACGGGGACCAGACTCAGGCCAAAGGCCTGATGAATGCTGGCCTGAAATGAAAGGACAAGAGAGGTTGATTCCCCCTCTGCCAAGGACAGACAGGGCAATTTCAACCCAAGATGAAAACACCCAGCAGTGGGCTTTCTAGCAGGGTCCAGGCACTGAGTCACCATGACATACTGTACAGGTTAGGCCACCAAGTACCCTAGAAAATGCAGCAGTCTCTGTGTATCAAGCAGCACTGAGAGAGCTCAGCCCGCACAAGGCGACAGGCGTTCTGCAACATGAGAGCACCAAACAGCCTGGCCTCCCCTCCCTGATCCGGGTGGTCAAGCAGTCAGAACCTGTTTGACTCAAGGATTCCTGAATGGATGGTGCCCAAGTGGGTGCCTGGTGTTACCTGGGAAGGGAAGGGGCTGGGCTCTTTAGCTACTCAGGACTGAGGTAGGAACGTGGTGTGTGTGCCTGGCTGAGGATGGACACAGAAGCTGTCTCAAAAAGTGGTGTGAGAGCACTTTATGGGGAAAAGGAAAATTAAAGGGCGTGCGACCAAGAGCCCAGTTTATTCTCTGTTATTGCCCTGACACAGAACCCAGGAGTCCTGACTCCCAGTCCCCTGGGCCACACTCCATCCCAGCACTGGGAACAAAACCCAGGAGTCTCGATGCCCAGTTCCCTGCGTTAGCCAAACAATGGTGAAGGCTCAATAGAGAGTGGCATCAGGCCTTGCTTAATGTAAACAAGGGGGAGAGGAGGAGGGAAGAGGAGGCAGTGATGAGAGAGAACCTACAGAGGTTGAGTGGAGACATCCCAGCATCTGAAGCCCAGTACGCGCTGGAGGAAAGGCCCTGTTTTCTTTGCAGATTGGCCTCAGCTGACAACCTGTGGGTTTGTGGCTTCAGTTTCTTGGAAGGTGGAAGGGAGTGAGGTGAGAGGATGGCTGGCTGTTTGCCCAAAGGCCTTGGTGGAGGTGGTTGTTTCATGTCTGTTGCAGGTACTGCTGCTGTGCTCTTTGGGCTGGGTCTGTCCGAGCTCCCAGCCTCCACTAATGATTTTCTCTCACTAGGGAGGAGAGAGGAAAGACGGCTTTTGAAGTCTTCATTTTGGATGAGGTCATTTAAAACATCAATTGGAGAGCCTTTAGCATCTGGATCATTCACTCCCAGGTGTCTCAGGTGGGCTCTAGCATGACTCGATAACCCCTTTCTGGTTTCAAACCAGGCACCACATAACTGGCAGTCAATTTCTTTGCCCGAGTCACTATCTACAGCTGCGGAAAAAAAACACATTGATCATAATACATACGGTCACTGAGGAGAATGTCTTTCAAGCACCAGTTACAACCCAAAAGGGACTTGGTTCAAGTGGCCTGGGTTGTCTCTCCAATGAGAAGTTATATGCTGCGTCGTCTAGAGATTTTAAACAGGCAGACCTAAAGGAAAGGTAAATCATCATACTGGCCCACGCAGCATTGCTGCTGCTCCCTGATGGTTATGCTGAAATTCCATCAGAAACCTTGACTTTCAGGGCTTCTCCATCACTTCTGTGTCTCCATTTACAACATGTGCCAAACAGCTTTAGAAGGTGGTAGCCAAAGGCTGTGCCCAGTAATCAGGGATCAACATTTTATTTTCTGTTTGCTGGCCCAGGTGCAGCCTCTGGAGAATGTTACTGCTCCTGAAAACCTGTGTGTTGCTTCTCCAGCTAAGCAGTCCTTCCCATATTACTTCAATAGCCAATATCCCATGAATTGCTACATTTAGAGATTAGCGCTTTACACCATTTGAAAGCTGGAACTCCAAAGTGTCAGATGGCATAAGGCTCTAGTTTCAGCTCTAGCGGACCCCAGCGGTACCAGCTCCTACAATCAGGTCAGATTTAAAGTTGGAAAAAACAAGAAGATAATCAGAATGGAGTGATTTTAAATTCCAATATTTTGCGACAGGATGGGACTAAAAACAAAGCTTTAGTGTAAGTGCTAAATGTCTGGTGTTCCCTAGCCCCAGTTCTTTGCAATACCAAACCTTAAACCTATACTGGGCACACAGGCTCCTCACACTACCTGTGCTCCTTTGACACTGGTACAGAACTGAATACAACCAGCTCCAGAGCATTTTCTCTCCCCATCCCTGCTGAGTAGCAAGGAACATCTCAGACCACATTTTAAACATGATCTGATTTTTAAAAGGGATTTCATTTTAAGAAGTTGGTGACTTCCACAAGGCCATGCATGGCAAGGCTATCCCACAGGTGGTACCAAGAGATTAACGAGGGCTGGGATTTTCTGAGGGAAAGAGCCCTCACTTGAACAGCTAAGAGTGAAGACTGGAACACTGTTACTGAGCACGTGCAGAATTGGTGCATTGATCATTACAAGCTCACAAAGTTCATGCAAATTTCTGCAGCAAAACTGCCATATGCGCTTACAGTGGCAGTCTCTTCCATGCAAGTCTATGAATGTCAAGCAAGCACATAAGATGTCAAGGTAATGACAAACCTCTTGATTTGAAATCTGCACTCTGGTATATGGCTGGCTACTCTCCAAATTGCCCAGCCAGACCCCAGCAGCCTAGGTGAAGGTTAACACGTGGGCCCTAATATCAATGGGAGCACTGACCACTGCTGTCTCAGTGACTTGGATAACTGAGAAGTCTAGGCCTGGTCGTCATAACTGAGATAATGAAGATTGGTACACGAGGATGCTAAGGCATGAGACAGTCACTTTCCCAACTGTTTCTTTCAGCAGAATAAGAGCAGCAGAATCACCCACATCTAATCAGACTGGATTCAGGGCTTTAGTGCTCAGGTAAACTAGGCTGTGGAAGAGTTCTCTAAGTGATACATGAAGGTCAGTCACCCATTTGGAATGACACAAACCTTGATGAACAATAGAAAGGGGGACTGGGACATGGAACTGTTCGTCTGCAGGGGCCTGGATAGGATGGCTGGTCTGTGAAAGTCCAGATCCAAACAGATGATAGACAAGACACATCAGCACAAGTAGGACTGATTGCCGCCTTGCTGCAGAGGGTGGGGACTGGATGTGCCACAGAGGCCAAATTCCCTTTAGTGCTAGAGGAGGTTGCTCCAGGTCATACCCGGGACCCTGGGGAAAGGGGAGTATGCAACAGCTTGTGCTGCTGCAGCCTACTTCCACGGAGAGAGGAATTCAGTCTAGTCCTGTCAGATCAAAACTAATGTTATGTGAAAAGTAACAGAAGTTAGGCTCCAAACCATACTCTGCTGAGCTTAGCTATGGCAGCATTTACAGTGTGTAAATCCATGGGCTGCCTGACACAGGAGATCTAGCAAGGAGTGGAGTGCATGTGCGTGGGCTAGAGGAGAGTGGGTAATTTGTTGTGTGTATTTAGGACTATTTCCAGTTGCCAATTCCACAAGCAGTCAGCACCCGATGCCTCACTTCTTGCTCAGGGTTAACAGACACTGAACTGCTGCAGCCCAGTTTGGACAAGAGCTGCTGAGAAAATCCACCTGTGCTTTCTATGCAGAACTGAAGAGTCTTCTCAGAACTCAACCACGCCGCGTTGCACAGTCGCTGCACTGACTCAGTCTGGCTTACGGGGTGTCTCAGCTCAGATTTTGTAGAAAAGGAAAGCTAGTTGGTTGGCAAACTAGTTCAGACTAGGATTCCTCCCGGCTGGCTGTTGTATCCCCACAGGGCACTGCAGGGAACAGTTATACAGAGTCTAGGAACAAAGCTGGAAGGCAGCAAGTGGCATCTTACAGGAGGGTGCCCTCTGGGAACTCCCCTAGGACTCCCCTCCAGGAGTAAGTGGGGTCAGGCGCACGGCTGATAGACTTGCTTAGCCCTCAGAACAGAGCTGGGGGGGATGCCTGCTGCACGCATGGAGAGAAACAGCAAGATGGACGACCAATTTGGCTGCCCTGGTACAAACACACAGCAAAAGCAGCAAGAACAGGGGTCTTTGAGGAGGTGGCCTGCTCCACTTCTCTGGCTTGAGAGAAATGTGGTAGGAGCTGGGGGGGCAGTGGAAAGCTGCAGGTGTAGCAGGGGCACTTACTTTACCCAGAACTGTTTGGGCGGGGAGGAGGAGAAGGAACGAGGAAACCCTCACCAGCTAAATCAGAAACAGATGACAATCACCTCCCACAATGAGCTATTAGCACTCATCCTCCAGAGACAGGAAAGGAGCCGCACGCTTGTCAGCAAGACACACGGAATGCAGTCCAGGACCAAGTTGGGACTCACTGCCCTGTGGATGTTTGCAAGGCATATCCAGATTAGATGGCAGCAGCCCCTATGGGACCTTGCTGGAAAGCTGCTGACAGCTACACTGAGTCCCACCCACGGCTGAAAGACAGGAGAGCCCTGCACCCATTCTCCTCACAGGGCAGCGAAGGGATGCCTTGTAGCAAGTTACCCAACAAGCCAGCAGCATTGAGTTTTGGTCAGCAAGTTCCCAGACACTCAGCTCTCCTGCCACATATATAGTGGGAAACATCAAAGGTAAAGAGACTCACTTAGATTTAAGGGCCCTTCCTCCTCCGGCTGCGGCCACGGTGCTTTCGGAGAGCTCTGCAGGGGGCTCAGGGGCAGCTTGGGGGTCTTGTCCTCGGGGTGTTTCGGAGGGGGGGATCCCGAGAGCGTGGATGGCACTTTCTTGAGGAGGGGGGATCCTGGCTGCGAAAGGCTCTTTGAGGAGAAGCCTGGTGGGGACTTGATCGCTTTGTTCACCGGGGGATCTGGCAAGCGATCGCCTGTCTTGCTGAGCGACAGCAGTGTTGGCCGTGGGGAGCTGCCTGTCCCTTCTTTGGGGGAGCTGGATTTTTTGCTGAGTGTTGGGGACAATGGGCTGCTGTCAGGTTTGCCTTTCTGCTTCATCAGTTCATAGAGCAAGTCGATGGGAGCTCCACTGCTCTCGGACTCTGCCACGCCAAGCTGCCGCAGGTGAGAGCGAGCGTGGCTGGACAGGCCTTTGCGGGTCTCAAAGCAGGCGCCACAGACCTCGCATGTTGTGAGGTTTTGAGCTGAAAAAGAAGAGCAGCTGTTAGCGAGTCACAGAGCTCCACAAGATGCAGCGCACAATCCCTGCACGTTTCATGCCGGGTGCCCTGGGCCTCAGTGCCTGGAAGCAGCCCCCGCATCCTAAAGTGCTACTCTAAACTACTTTAACTCCCAAGACTACTTAAGCAAATGTAGCTATCTTTCTTCTTGCCTTGTCGCCACCTATCAGACCCCTGCACTGTGAGCACTCAGGGGCAAGGACTGCCTTCGGTCCACTTGTCTCTAGAGCACCTAGCACATTAAGGCGCTGACCAAGGCCTCTGGGTATCAGTGCAACCACCAGCAATAAACTGGAAGAAGCTGGGGATGAGGGGGAAGCAGACAACACGTCAGGCATGAGTCTGCAGTGTGATACGGCAGAAAAAGGACAACAGATCTGGGCCATCCCCCTACAGACGTTAACTTTGCTGCTCCCCTTGCAGTCCCTTTCCCCTCACAGTTTATTATTCTTTATTGTATTGCTTCTTAGGTTATAGTGTAATTCTCAGGCCAGGGACCATGGGTGACGTTTTCAGAAGCACCCATGTTCCTTTTCAAAATGGTACCCGAGGGGTTTCTGCTGTCTGTACAGTGCCTGGCCCACTCTGGGACCTACAATAAGGGATATGGTGCAAACTGAGCTGGCACGTTGTATACATTTCTAGGCATCTCATTATCAGCAAACCCACAAACTGGAAGAAACCAAGGGGCTGGAGGGACTCAGTTATAAGGTCAGACTAAGACTGTTTAAGTGAGTCCTAACAAGGACAGAGAAGGGACATACCTGCCTAAAGACATCTGAAAGGTGCAAACACCCAGGACAGAGAGGAATCATTTACAAAGTTATAAGAGTGTAACTAAACCAATCTCTTTCACTAAGGGCAGAATTCAAGACAGACACCAGGAAAAGCTTCCTGATCATGCAACCTTCTACTTGCGCTGAATCACCTGCTATGGGAGGTACTGGACAAACCCACGTTTGGAGTACTGAAGGTATCATGGGAACTGTCTTGGTTGGCAGTAGAGTGGAGCAGATAGCCTAAGAGGCCATGCAATGCTCCATCACAATGTGTGTTGTTTGGCAAATTGCCTATGACAGCTCTGATCACAATAAGGTGCTGTAGTCTGGGACCTCTAGCCTCCAGGGCCACACTAGAGTACTAAGAACAAAGATGGCAGCAGTCCCCTCCAATTTATTCATATTAGAGCCAGCCCTTCAGTTCATGGCAAATTGCCAACATGACTCCTCACCACAGCAATGTGTGAGCACTGCCCTGCTCCAACAGGACCATCTTTCATTCTATCATCCCATGCACTGAATAGGCGCAGAGGCCCAGCCTGCCTGCCAGCTCCATTCCTTTCTCAGAGAGGGCACATTTGATGTTGTTTTGAATGAAGAGGGATTGCAACAGAAGAGCCCAATGGTGCTAATCCAGTGATTTTAAGAGAGACTACTTGAAAACTCCACCTGTTGCCCAAGGCAGACTAAAACCCCAGAGTCTCTTTCTGCCAAGTTATGATGAGGATGGAAGAAGTCTGAACTGCAAGTACATCAATGACCTTCCCACATCAATGACAATTCCCCATAATTCCGGGCAACAGGGAAACAGCCAAGGGCAAGGAGTTTTCATTTATTTTTAACATGACTTGCTGTCTATTAAATCACAAACAGGAATGTGGGGTCTGGGTAATCAGGAACAGGAGCCAATAAAGGCCTTGTCCTGTTCTTATATCCTTGGAGCAGAGACCATTCTCTTAAAGTTTTGGAAAGTGACTGGCACACAGTAGGTGCGATCACCAATAAATCATCATCATCGAGCTCTTTCTTTACGGACATCTTCCCATTTTGTCATGCCCACTAGTTTGCTATTGTAGGGCCTCTCTTGTGTGCTGGTTCATGACTGCAAGATGCCTTGTAAGTGATGGAATTGGGCAATAATTTGTTCATGTAAGGAAAAAAAAGCTTAATTTTTTTTCAATGAAAATTACATGCAATAAAGAACAACAAAACAAGGCTCCCAGGGTTCCTCTGAAATAGCTGAGAAAAGTGCCTCTCCCTCAGTACGAGAGGCCAGCTGCTACGGAGATGAATTACAGAATGAAGTTGAGCCATAATCTGAAAAGCACTCACTTTTGGAATCCTGGGAGTCTGGCTTGTTTCCAGGAGGCTCAGGAGACAGTTTGGTCCCTATTCTGTTTGGAGTTTGATCCAATTGCCCGGCGGAAGTGCTCTTCTTTGGGATGGGTGGTGACCCCACTTCCATGGCAACCATTTCTTCTTCCTCAGAGGCCATAACTGCCAGGGAGAGAAGGAAACATTCAGTCTGAGCTGTAAACAGTAAAGCATTAATGAAACTCACTCAAGGGGAACAGTGAATAAAGGTTAAACCATTCCACATTTGATTAAAATAACCTACAAGTTACTCATTAGCTCAATGTTATCAGCCAGGCACCAAGAATGGAAGTGAAAAAATATCCCAGTTAATACTATATATTAATGGAAAAACAAGTTTTTGATAGGTAGGTTTACAGTAAACAGATGCTTTTGGAGCTGGATCATTAAGAGAATAGGGACTATAGCTCACGGATGCAAATGCAGGGGTCAAGTCATCACTGCATTGGAATATACAGAAATCCACAGTGTAAGCTTAGAATCATAGAATATTAGGGTTGGAAGAGACCTCAGGAAGCCATCTAGTCCAATCCCCTGCTCAAATCAGGGCCAACACCAACTAAATCATCCCAGCCAAGGCTTTGTCAAGCCGGGCCTTAAAAACCTCTAAGAAAGGAGATTCCACCACCTCCCTAGGTATCCCATTCCAGTGCTTCATCACCCTCCTAGTGAAACAGTGTTTCCTAATATCCAACCTAAACCTCCCCCACGGCAACTTGAGACAATTGCTTCTTGTTCTGTCATCTGCCACCACTGAGAACAGCATAGCTCCATCCTCTTTGGAACCCCACTTCAGGTAGCTGAAGGCTGCTATCAAATCCCACATCACCCTTCTCTTCTCCAGACTAAATAACCCCAGTTCTCTCAGCCTCTCCTCATAAGTCATATGTCCCAGCCCCCTAATCATTTTTGTTGCCCTCCGCTGGACTCTCTCCAATTTGTCCACATCCCTTCTGTACTGGGGGGGACCAAATGTGGACAAAACATTCCAGGTGTGGCCTCACCAGTGCCAAATAGATGGGAATAATCACTTCCCCCGATCTGCTGGCAATGCTCCTACTAATACAGCCCAATATGCCATTGGCCTTCTTGGCAATGAGGGCACACTGCTGACTCATATCCAGCTTCTCCTCCACTGTAATCCCCATGCTTCCATGCTATCAGCAGTGACTCAGGGAACAAAGAGTGTTATGAAATGATGGTATTCGCCACAGAGTGCGAAACACATTCCATATCTTCTTGTCTCTAGACTGATAGGACCGATAAGCCTCAGCCATGAATCAGGACACCACTGAGCCTGGCATTGTACAAGTACAAAACAAAAAGAGGGTCCCTGACCACTTCTTTGTAGCTAGTGAGTTGTTAGTTTACATAGCATCACTGATATCCATAGCGTTTTACAGTCAAGCCAACAGGTCCCGGCCTTGAGGAAATTACAATGCTGCCAACAATTCCTACTGTGTGTAGCACTTACTATCAGGACATCAGTAAGACAGTTCATAGCACAAGGACTATGCTGAGTAGTGTTTACATTACAAGGTTAGATGGCTGAAGGCACAAGAAGTGACAACCACAGGGAAGAGAGAACACAACTGGATTGGTACATTGCTTCGGGGAGAACATTAATTACGGACAGTTGGACTGTTTATGTTGTGTTTGTAATATTTGCTTTATTTTCATTGAGAGCCAGCAGGATAGGGGAAGCACCTAGTGGCACAGCTGAGCTTACTGAGAGCAAACTGGATAAAAAAAGTTTTGAAGGGGTATTTGAACGGAAGGGTGCCTGGAACAGTAGGACAGGGACACTGTACCAGGCACAGAGATCAGTTGAATCCCAAAGAGGAACAGACAGAAAATATTAAAGATGACATGAACAGAGAGGACAACGGGAAATCTCCAAAATAAAATGTGGGAAGTTTATAAAAATCACGTATTTTACCTACTTCTAGAAGCCATAAAACAAAACAAAAACTTAACGGTTGTTTAGAGAAAAACTGCACTGTAACACAAAAAGGAATTCATAGCAATGTGCCCAACTACAGGGGAGTAAGCCACTGCTCTTTAAAGGGCCTTAAATATTAAATGTGGTGTTTGGAGTGTTGTAGCCCAGGATATCAGAGAGACATGGTGGGTGAGGTAATGTTTTTACTGGAGCAATTTCTGTTGGTGAAAGAGACAAGCTTTTGAGCTGAAGAAACGCCCTGTGTATGCTCAAAAGCTGGTCTTGTTCATCAACAAAAGTTGGTCCAATAAAAGTTATTCCCTTTAGTTAAAACAATCAAACAGGAAGCTGTCATTTTGACAGTTTGGAAATGCAAGGTAGGGCTTTAGCTGCTTTATTATATAACAGGAAAAGGCTGATTCTTTCAGTTATGCTAAGGTAAACTGCTGCATAGATTTGGTTTTTATGGTTAGTTTTACAGATTAAAGTGACTCAAGCCTTTTCTTTTGGTTAAATTTAACTACAGAGCTGTACTCTGAAAATTTCTGAGGGTGACATCAATTTCCTCTGTTCTGTTTCATATCCTCAAACTGAGACTAGTCACTTTCTGCAGAAACACTTCAGCCTCATTCACTAGCCAGAAACACAAAACAGGACAAGAGTTTTTAAAAATGATTCAAAAACAGTGTCTTTTAACAGGCTCTTGGTAAATATTGATGTTGCTTCCTGAGATTAGTGCTTGGGCATCATGATGATGCATAAAATCCTACAACATGAAGGGATGCGTCTGCTTATATGGCGAGGGCACCCAAAATTTATATCAGCAATGACTGACATCCCCCCCCATTCCTGTCAAGAGTTTGGAAGAGTTAAAAACCCTCTTGCTTCAAGATAACAGGCAACTGCTACCTTTGGGGTTTAGGAAGTAGCTTCCCCCATAGGCAGGTTATTCCACAGCTCTCCATTACAGGGTTTCTTGCACCTTCCTTTTAACAGCTGGCACTGGCTGCTGTCAGGAACAAGAGACAGGGCTAGAGGGCCCCATATCTGGACTAGCAAATCCTCTGCTCCTAGATTCATGGTGTTAGAACTACTCCTCACTGGGAGGGCACAATCAAGGAAAAAGAGACCATGAGAAAGGGCTCAGACCTGGGAACAGCTACCCCCGACCCCAGAGGGGAGCCAAGTTTGTGGTCAGGGTAGGGGGCAGTAAGCCCAACCTGTCAATGTGGAGGAGCAAAGAGCTGAATTGAGGGTGGGAGAAGGCAATAAGCCCAAACTGTCACTATATTTGGGGGAAGAGGCACACTGGGCACAGCTCCCCAGGGACCAGGGTGAGCCAGGTGTACTGGTAGAGAAGTAGTCAGCCCAGCCTATTAGTGCAGAGGAGCACAGCAGAAAGCACAGCCCCATGACACCAGGAAACCAGTGAGCCTGGCCTGTCAGTGTGTGAGAAGCAAAGAAATAGGCAGAGCCCTGCCATAGTGGGGGCGATCTGGAAGGAGGAGTGAGAACAGTGCTCCAGGCATCCTGTCAGTATGTGTTTTGTACGTGGGAGGAGCTGAGCACGGCCTCCTAGGAGTGAGAGAGGAGGCAGAGAGGGGGGCAATGAGCCTGGCCTATCAATGCAAAAGGGGGGGCAGGGGAACGGAACTAGGTGCAGCCCCTAGGGAGTGAGCCCAGCATGTCAGTATCGGGGGAAGCTGGACACAGCCCCCAGGATGAAGACAGGGAGTGCACTGAGCCTGGTCTAATAGCGTGTGTACTAGGCACAGCTGGGGGGAGTGAACCCAGCCTGTCAGTGCGGGGGGACCCAGAAGCAAGCCCAGGCTGTCAGTCTAGGGCAGGGGGAACAAGCTAGGCACAGCCCGCCAGGACACCGGGGATCACACTGAACCCGGGCTGTCAGTGCAGAAGGTGATCTGGGCAGAGCCCCCGGGGTGGGGGCAGGGCAGCGAGCCGAGCCCGGGCTGCCCGTGCGGGGGGAGGGGAGGCGCTGGGCAGAGCCCGGGGGTTGGGTGGGGGAGCAGGGAGCGCGCTAAACCCGGGCTGTCAGTGCAGGGAGGGGGGTGCTACCTGGAGCCACGGGGGCGGGGAGCGCGCTAAACCCGGGCTGCCTGGGCAGAGCCCCCGGGGGAGGCCGGGGAACGCTGAGCCCGGCCTGGCGGGGGGACGGGGGCGGGGACAGACTACAGCGAACTGCGTCTTCTCCCCCAGACCACTCGTCCATCGACGGGAAGGGCCAAGGAGCGGGCTCAGACACCTGGTGAGACCCGGACCCTCCACCGCCGGGGAGGGGGAGTCCGGCCTGCTCCCTCCAGCTCCCTCTCCCGTCTGGCTGCGGGCTGGGTGGGGCCGCTCCCGCCGCCCAGGCCCGCGGGTGGAGCGGGGGGTCCTCACCGGTCTCGGGCGCCGCCTCCAGCTCAGGCTCCCCGTCCCCGCCCTGCTCCTGGGGCCGCGGCGGCGCCGCCGCTTTTGTCACTTTCAGCGGCGAGGCGGTGGAGGCCGCCATCTTGGGTCCGGCACATGCAGGGCAGCCACAAGGCGGGGCAGCCGAGCGCCGAGCCACGGGCCGCGCCAGGTCAGGCGGGGCAGCCGAACACCGAGCCAGCCGCCTCCGAACCAGGCCCCACAAAGCCAGACAGGAACAGTCACCTGCCGAGCAATCGATACCCAGCCCTCGAGGCGGGAGCGCAGACACTTGCCACGCACGTAGGCAGGCCGGAGCAGAGGAGAGCCGAGCTCGCGTAGGGCCCACAGGCCCAGGCGAAGAGCCAGGCTGTGGAGGGCCCCAGGGGGCTGGCAGGGGCCTTGAGGCCGAGTCTGGCTGGTGCTGCCTAGGGCAGTGTCAGGTGGAGTTGCCCCCCCCATGACCCCCTTGCCTTCTGCCGGCAGGACGGCACTCCAGCCTTGGCAAAAAGAAAAGGAGGACTGGTAGCACCTTAGAGACTAACCCATTTACTTGAGCATAAGCTTTCGTGAGCTACAGCTCACTTCATGGCAGCTGTAGCTCACAAAAGCTTATGCTCAAATAAATGGGTTAGTCTCTAAGGTGCCACCAGTCCTCCTTTTCTTTTTGCGAATACAGACTAACACGGCGGTTACTCTGAAATTCCAGCCTTTGGCCAACCGGTGCTTGGGCATCTCTCCCGTGAGGGGCGGCCCTGCTGAGCCCAGAAAA